AACTAAAAGATCTGCCTCCCATTCTTTTAGAAATTCTAGGAACCACTAGTAAACCTGTAGATTGAGAGTGAAGTGCTCTGTTAGGAACATAAGGAACGATTCACCCTTAGTATTTTTCTATTTTGTTATTGGCGTTTCAGGTTATTCATTTATATTACCTCTACATCCACAGGCAATTATCAACTGCACCGTTACACCAAGCATGACATTCACCAAGACATCTCAGAAGTTTGGTCAGTGGGCTGACAGCAGAGCAAACACCGTCTATGGACTGGGTTTCGCTACCGAACAGCAGCTGCATCAGGTAAACTAAACAAGCAAAGAAAGACTGGCCTGTCTTCTTCTTGAGATATTTCACCATTTATAGTTTTGGGCTTTTTTTTAAATAGTTTTCAGAGAAGTTCAAAGAGGTTAAAGATGCTGCTCGTTTGGCTCGGGAGAAATCTCAGGACAAAGAACTAGCCAACACTGCACTAACAATCGCTGCTCCTCAGGTGAGTGCTGCCCTTTAAAAAAACATAAGAATGTAAAAGGTATGAGAGCATTAAATCTCCTCTGATCTATCCGGATTCGGGTTTTGCACAAGCCTTCTGTAATTGTACCAAAGGATGGATGGAGAAAGAACTGAAAGAAAAAAGAAACAACTAAAGAAAAATAAGCTGGGTCACTGGCCTCAAAGGGAAGCCAGAGTGAGGAAAACTAGGACAATGTTAAAATTATCGTCTGCTGCTCAGTACGACAGCACATTTGCAACTGCTCATGAGTAAAACCACCAAAGAAAAGGTTGGTTACATCCGACTTGATAAAGAGATTTATAGACCACTAATTGCTTAGGTAATAGTATAAATAGATACAATAAATGAGGGCACCTACATATGTTGTCAAGGTTTCAGAGGGTCATGTTAAAGCATAAAACTTTGGCTCTTCATATATCCACTGATTCCCATATTGGGCATCTTTGATGAATGCATGGTTTGTGGTTAACACCAGTATCCATTATCACAATCCACATTTTTCAAGGAACCCAAGGTGTTCAAAATTAAATAAATAAATGTAATTAGAAAACTAAATATCTACTTGAATAAATAATACATAAATAGTTATTGTAACTATAAAGCTGTAAAATAACTGAATGTACCCTAATTTTCGGGCTATTAGCCGCACCGGACTATAAGCCGCAGGTTTTTTATGTTTAATGTCCGTCTTTCTCGCTGTCATTCTGTCTCGTACCACTCGCGGTAGAAGTCTGCTTCCGAAGGACCTCCGCATT